TTATGGGATGGAAAATAGCTCAGCATAATATCTGCAAAACTATTCATAAGCGTTCCCTTCTACTACCTTTCCATAAGCTAAAAATATGTGTGTGGTGTTGGCACTTTAGCGCCTATCTGGTCACGCTTGAGCTGTAAAACTAACAATAAAAATAGAATGACGAAAAATACAGGACACAAAAAAAATAAAGTAAAGCAGACATTTATAGGAGACTACAAGGCTATTTCCATAGAATTTTAAAGCAGAAACATCTTCACACCTTTTGAAAAGGCAGCAACATCTCTGAAGTGAGAAAGCATTCAAGTGCTAAGAAACTGAGAGTCTTTGGATCCAACATATGGCCTCCATCCTGTGTTTGAACGCGAGCAGGAGGATTGAATCCACGTGGATTTTCAGTAACATCAACAAACTCCATGCAGGCATGAAGGTTTGCCCACACACACGAAGCTGTGGAGATGGGACAAAGCAGGAAAGAATACTATAATGGATTGGATGCCAAAAGCTCAGTTACCAGATGCACCAGGCTGCACGTTATACCTTCCTATATGCCTAGTGATTACTTTCATATACAGACATCCGTGCTATGAATAACTCCTTCCCCTTGGATATTATATTTCTCACTTAAGTGCCAGAAAAAGCTATTTCTGTGACAATACTTGAGAACAATTAACTTAGCGTCAACATTTTAATCCAAACACAACAATGAACCATTCACTGTTAGTTACTAATGGACGTAAGAGCCTTGATACTCTTCTTTTCTGCAAGACTACTGTAGCTTGAATTATCCCAGGTTGTACAATGCTAAGGAGAAGAGTTATCAGACCTTACAGACCATCATTCAACAGATAATTCAAGCCCTGGCATAATTTAGAGTTCCTATAGGACAACTCTGTGCTATGCCAGATAGTAAGAGCTCAGAGACTGCAGAAGCAGCAAGACAGAAAATGAAGTGCAACTGTGCTCCAAATACACCCCTAGCCCTCAATGGCAGGAGACGCTACATCAGATGCTCAATGCACAGTGGAATTCCTTGATACACAGGACGTTTTTCATACCATCTTAGTTGTTCACAATACATGATTTACGACCCCTGTGTGCTGCCAAACAGGCCAAAGGAGTTACATCATAAAAGGGATCTGCCTCAATGTGACTTGAGGACCATGGCAAAGGATGAAAATACTTCCAAATAATAAGAGAGCTGTAGGGATCGCATAAATTTCATCCATATTAGTTCCCGCAGCTCAAAACAATAAAAGGTAATATATCAATTCATAGGAAGCCACAAAGATGTTGAACATGCAGGGTTTATATATCATTTTTTTGATGGATTAACAGAAAATGTACACAGAAACCTTCTTAATCAATGCCCATGACAGCAGCATTTTCTTATTTAAATGAAGTATCCTGCAAGGGTTTGAAAAGAGCATCCTGGTTTTTCTCTTGAAATTGATTGTTAGTATCTAGAATCACAGAAAAATCACTCATGGTTTATACAAATGACTACGCAAGCAAAGGTGGCAGCCATTATGGGATCAACAACTCTCACCTGAGACCACTGATGCTAATTAATCTTTGGTGGTATTATTACCCAGGAAGGAAATTTTGGACATCATACCAACAACTATTATCCTTTTTCTATATAAACAGTATAATCCCTGTGCCATGATTATCTGCATCTTCAAAGGAACAACAACCAGAGAGGTCTTATTTCATCATTCTAGCTACAGGACATCTTCACTTCAACTACCCTGTGTTCATTCTATGCTGTAGTATCATTAAAAGGAACAAAACCTGGAAAGTCGTAATACAAATCATGACTATTTTTCCTCAGAGACTACAACTCAAAAGGAATAAATATGCATCATGACTTCGAAGGAAAGAGAAAGCTTTCATTTCTTTCTAAAGGATAGAAATTGTTTTCATGGTCCTTCAATCTGTTCTTATTTCTCATTTGCATCTGCACAAAGAAACTAGATTCTCCTTTCAAACAAGCAATTTCAAGTGGCAAAAGGCTTAATTCAGTACGCAAAGAAAACAAAAATATTCAGTTTATGAAGCTCACAGATAAATTATTTCCCAAACACAAGGGCCAGTAATTAAAAAAATATATATTCCTAAATCTCAGTATCATTTCTTCCAAACCAGCAACCTATCATACACACAGGTAACTGACTGACGAAAACTATGTTAGATTTAAAATATTTTTAAAATATATATGCCTCTTTTTAATAGATGAAATTACTTTCCACATACTAAGTCTCACAAAAATTCACGCATGAGAGACACTAAAAAGCCAATTGTATAACTTCATTATTTATTTTAAATAAGAAACACAGCATAAGTGCTACATTCAGCATAATTTATATTTAAACATCATGTAAATATAAAGCAAAAGACAATGTTTAATAACATTGAACCTATGTTTAAGAAATAAGTTTACTAATAACAATAAACTAACTTACTAGTCTATTCAATTCAGTGACTGACATCATCTCTTTGAACAGCAGCCCTTAACAGACCCTAATCCAAATAACCACTGGAATTAGCAGGCAGGCCATCGCAGGTTTAAACAGACACCAAATCAAGCATTTGCTAATGCTGAGGTCAGTTCCATGCACAGAAGACCAGTCTTCTGTCTTCACTGCTGAAACAACTGACTTAATAAGAAAGAAAAAAAAAAGAAAAAATGCTACTACCATATTCCTTAATTAACATTCCTGTAATTTGCAGCAGTGTGCTCAACTAGTGGGTTTTTTAAGTGACATTGTTGAATGAATGACGAGTACTGAAGTGCTAAAAATACACAGTTTCTGGAATCCAGTGTTGGGGCGAACCTTAACATGCTTCATTACACTTTCTCTTACTTAAACTGTTATCCAGACATCCCAGCTAGATAATATGCTACAAAACATAGTGTAAAAAGGATGACAGATGAACGATACAAAGCATTAGTGCCAGTCAGATATCTACAGATCTTAATCCTTTTTACCAAGATGACAAATACTAAGATTCCTGAAAAAAAAAAAAAAGAAAAATAACCGGGAAGAAAAAAAAAAAAAAGAAAAAAGAAAGGCTAAAGCATACACACAGCTTTAACCATGCAGCAAAAGCATCCCACCATCCACTTATTCATCTTATTCCCCCCAAAAAATACAAAAAAAGAGAAAAAGAAAACGGAAATGGGTATCAGCCTGTTCTTAGTGCTAGAGGGAGATGGAGAGCGACAAAAGCCCCTGCAGGACTAATCCCACTATCTGTTTCAGAAGCCTGGGTTCCCATGTCTGAAGATGAGGAAAGGAGGTGGGGAGATAAGGAAACACTGGCAGCTAAACGTGTGGCAGAAGGACCTGCACAGAATGGGACAGCTTCTTTCTGTCTCAGGATATTACTGTCAGAATGGCCACAAAAGCCACGAGCTTCATTTTTCCATTCTCACTGCAGTACTTTAAGAAGTGCCTAATTTGAAGAGAATTGGACAGGTGGCGTATCACGCTGAGCTAAATAGATAAGTGTGAGATTTAAATGACAAGAGGCAGCAGGCTTTGCTGTTGTAAAGAGCGAGGGAGTGAATTATTCTGATGGTACCAATGGGCACAAGTGGAAGGTCAGCCTGGGGTGCTGCCAGTGTCACCCGAGTGCCTGGTAGCAGATGGTGCCAGTCTGTAGGGATAAAGAAGGGCTGATGTACCCCATGGGCTGATAGCAACCTGATTTGCTCAGAAATAAAAAAGTTTTGGGGCAGATGCAGGCAATACAAATTAACATAGATGCTGCCACCCCAAATGTCAATGTAAGCATGCCCAGACCAAGGGCTGTAAGGGTGGATCGGTCAGGAGGTGCTGCAGAAAGCGCAGCAGGGCCAGGCACTGCCAGGGTGAGATGCTGCAGGCACTGCTGGCTGGGGGCTGCAGCTGGGAGATGGCCCAGGCCAATCTCTGCATGGTCCCAAGGGAGCTTTGGAGCTCCCTCTCCCTAAGCACCTCCAGGTTGGACACTGAGATGTCCACCAGGATCCCCGACCTCCCCCCCCCAGCAGTGCCTTGCCTGTGTTGCTTGCGTTCCCATTTCTGGACTTATGCAATGACTCGAGGGCAGAACCAGCCTGCAGAGAAATGGAACAGCGGGAGACGCAGGCAGCCTGGATCCCTGTGGGGCTCCCTGAAGTGTCCCAAACTAGAAAACTGGCCACGTCCCCACTCCTGCCTCCTGCAACATAATTATTCCAGCATGACTGACATGACAAATTAACAAGGCAGCCAGGGCTTTTGCAGTAGAAGGGAGTGTTTTCCCCAAGAATAAATTGTTCCAATCCTTTACGCTAGACACCCGGCCGTGCCTATTCATTAATTGGACAAGCTCTGGTGACAACTGAAATTACCTGACTTCTACATACTGGAGGGGAGAGAGATCTTTGCAAGCTTAAAATAAGAAGCCTAAAGCTGGAATCCCAGCCACCAAGGAGTTCTTTGAATGGGGCTTTTTTTTTTTTTTAAAGAAAATTCATTTTCAGAGCATAGCTACAGTAAAGCTGCTTTTAAAAGCAGAGGCACGTTCTTCAATGTTATTCCTCCTTTTGCAGACCCTGAACTGTGGCACCAGAACATGACAACTCTGCCAATGAACCACAAACCTTTTAAGATCTGCAGATCAGTTGAGTTTAAGAACTTCAGGAGCTACGAAATTCTGAGATTACTGCAATGTTGTGATTAATTACCACAACCAGGTACATTAGGAATTATAAGCATCTGCTTAATCAGTACACTGTGGTTATTTATTGCAACCAATGTATCATAATTACCACACAGGTATTGGAACTGGGGGAGGGATATTGATGTTTATTGATTTCTGTCATGACCCCCTCACAATACATCATTCATATATTTTTCAACTACTATTTTGATTTGGGTTTAACTGTACCTCTCATCCCTTATTAAGAGGAAGCCTGGGAACCCTGTACGGTATTCCTCCCCCCCTCCGCCCTTTCTGTGCTAGCTGCGTACCTGAAATGCAGACGATGAAATTCGCTTGCAGAAGAAAAAGCACCTCCCAAACAATTTCCATCCTCCGATTCTCATGCCAAGTGCATCCCTCGGCGAAAAAAAATAACAAAGATCAATATGGCAGTTTGAACGATCCCAGCAAATTTCCTTTCGGACTTGCAGACTGTATTCCCCAGATGTGCTGACAACACATGTCCGAGCTCTCTCTCTGCACGGCTCAAGCGAGATCCCTTCCCTTCCTTCGCCCTCCAAAAAAGACCAAGAAGCCAACTGCCAGCACCAGGCTCTTCCTCCACGAGTGAGAAAAAAATCCACCAGATTTCCCAACAAGACATAGACAACAAACCCCAACTGATCCAGTCCGGAGAGTCTCTATTCCAGGGCGGCCAGGTGCAAGTTAACCCCAAACTCCGCACGTCTCAGCGGGGCAGGGCCAGCATGGCCGGGGGCAGGGAGGCGGCGGAGGGAGGGGGTTTCCTCTCCTGCTGCTACAAAATGAGCGGAAAGAGATTAATTCCCGCTGCAACGCATTCGCCCCCCCCCACCTCCCCGCA